TATAAACTAACAATCACGTGGTCAATATATATCATTGATTCCTTATAAAGCCACACAATTTATTCTTGTCTTAGTTTTCATGTTGTAGTCCTTTCTGTACATGGATAAATAAGGAGTAGGAGTAAAAAAAACTATACAAAGATTTCACTGAAAGTAATGTATATACTAACAATCACATGGTCAATATATGTATGCACAGATCGTTTGAATGGTCCTGTTTTTTCTACATTTTGTCATTTTCATTCATCTTCATTATGTTGTTAAATTGAATGGAAGAACATAAATGTTCATTTGAAATTGAAATCATCTTCTCTTCTTATCATTCTTTTTCTCTTACAATAGTAAACACAAAGAATATGACAAATATCATTAAATTTGTTTCATTCTATATGCCAGTCTTCTTACTCCAAGGTTGCTCATAATGAGTAGTGTTGATTAAAACGTCTATGTACAAATACAATTGTGTAAATGCATGTTAACATTTTTTTCTTCAACAAATCGACCCTTTCACAAGTTTCGTTTATAATAAATAACAAAATGCACAACCTCACAAAAAAAAGATAATTAAATTGATTATTTTGTCATACAAAAAGTTTCTCAGCCGTTCAAGAGCGCATAATATATATTAAACAAAATATGATTTGTATCCTAAGGTTATTACAAAAACACTAAAATACATTGGGTAAACTGAAACCTTTTTTGTTCATGCAATACTTTTGTGTGCATTAAGCTGCAAATAAATATTTTATTATAATTATTAAAATGCAATTAAAAGATATCCATACAACCCAAATAATTTGATTTGTTCGTAGGTTTGGCGTTTATATTAGTAGTACAAAGTAACCATTGGTCAAGCTTGGACCATACAACATTTGAATGTGTGCAGTAACAACAAATATGCGTAACATTTTCTTTACTGCTAGTACAAAATATAAATCTGTCCTCGTTAACTAATTTTAATTTCATGTTAAGTATTCTGTTTACAAAATCAGAATCTGAAACCATATGATATTTATTTGAATGGTTGACTGAAAAGGAATCAAACAATATGAATACTACCTTTTGTATCAAGGTTTCAAACCATGTTTCCAATATGTACAACTTTAACGTTATTTCACATGATGATTTATAAGCGATTGGTCAATATGCCACATAATCTTGTTACAAACAAGTCGAATAGCATTATACAATACATTATAACGAAGGAAATTTATTTGTATATAAATTTGTATTGAAATTAGACAAATAACACAGCCGAGACACGCCGAAAAAATATTCACGAAAGGCATGAAACAAGAAGTATATAGAAAACAAAAGCATTATGTGATACAGCAAAGCAGTGTTACAGCATAAAAAACCTCATTCAAATAAGTATTTTCTCAACTAAATTATATCGGAGAAGCCTAGTTTGTTAGTACTAAGCGAAATTGATGTATTCATGTTATTTATATCAAATATTTAGTGAGTCGCCTACTCAGCTAGCAAACAATTACACAGAAATGTCATAAATGTAAGACATACAATTCTTGAAATAAAGATTTATAATACAATCAAATCTAGGAAAAAGGAAAAAAATACCGTACGATACTAGCCAAATGATCAAAATGACACACATTTGGAGATGAACTAAGGGAGACTGAAATATATTTACATACGGTGTGATCAGCAATGAAACTAATAGATTAGGACAGCTGATTACAATAAGGGAGTTTACAGATAGCACATGGTACAAATGACCCCAGATATCCACAGATCTTTTACACATGGAGAAGTTCCACTTTGAGCATCTTAGAATAATAACTGCCAAAGTCCTAGATGTGCTTCATGAATACCTTTTGTTTGACCTCTTGAAAAGAATACGTCCACCTGCGTATCATAGAATGTACCGTTGGTGCATACACGAATAATGTTACATAACTTTCATGAGCGCATATCCAGTATTCATCTCTGTGGGTTTTACCATTTTGGTACAAATGACCTTTATCTGCCCATGCGCAGATTGTATCTGTAAACTCCCTTATTGGTTGGACCTGAATATATGGACGTTCGTTTTTAAATAAAATGTAGTTCTACATTTGGCTACTCTTAGCATCATTTTATTTGTGTTTTAAACAGGAATTTCTCACGTAATATGTAATCTTCATACACAATGTGGATCATGCAAAGTGATGCTTTGAGAGATATAATTAGAAATTCATTAATAATGTTACCTTAAAATCAATTTCATGGTACATGGACAAAGTTACTTGTATTCTGTATAATGATACCCTATTGACAAATATTATGCCACGGCTGATGACTGAGCATCAGGGTTTTTTAATAGTGCCATCCAAATCCCCTTGTACCAATATTGGTCAGGCAATGTACGTGCATTATTTTAGACTTCAATCATTTTTAAAATTGGAATCTGCTTCATGCTCCATTGCTTCATTGTTAAAAGTGATCCAATGTATATAGGCTTTCGAATTTAACTTGTTCAAAGCATTACATTTGTCAATGAATATATTTCATTTCCTGAATATCTAATTCACTATTCAACACATTTTGTATTGCGTCTTATGACTATAAAGATGAATTAAAAGTTTAAAATAGAAACAAACTTGAAAATCGTAGGATCTGTTCCTGTCTCTGGATTCAATATTTTCAATAGATTTAGTGCCATCTTAAAAAATAGAACATCACAGGCAATTCCACAAAATGATAATCATGCAGATATCTTGAAATTATAATTTGTGATGATATTTCCAAAGTGTGTACTGTACTGATAAGCACTGTATATATAAAATTGCGTCCTAGAAAGAGGAAAAACAAATGTTTTTGTGTGAACAGACTACGAGCTGAACATATATTTTCTTGCTTTTCAGAACGTTGAAGTAATGTGCTTCCAAAAAATACACTGGTTTTAGTAAAGCAGTGAGAAGATAAAGATCAAATGCGATCATGATATGGGCGAGCAGACCTTAGCTAGTGTATGGGAGTGTGAATGGGAGTGTGTATAAGAGTGTATAAGAGTGTTAATGTGAGTGTTTATGAGAGTGTCCATGGTACAGGAGTGATAATAGGAGCGTGTATAGGAATGAGAGCGTGTATTAAAGAGCAAAGGGCCTGCTTGCTCATCCTTTGACCCACTCTTGTGTCACCTCACAAAATAAATTTTAAACTTGACTTAATTTGCCTGTTATTGCCTTAGTCATATTACTTATTAATGTTGTCATGAATTTTGTTATATACTGTATATTATACTTTGTGAGAATGTCAAACCACATTTTTATCTATTATTACCACTGCAAATTGTTCATAATTCAGCCATCTGGCTGCGAAGTGCAAATATAATACAAATCTTTTCAATCAATCAATCATAGAGCATGACCCGATAGAAACTCTAAATTTAAAGAGAGGTTTCGCTTCTGTGGTGACTTTTTAAATTGTATTTATGTTAGTGTGGACAAAAATTGCCCCTGAAAAGAATGGCTCTTCAAATGCCTTCATAAGAAACAGCTAAATGTTGTGGACCACACGTTATGTCATCTAAAATGTCATTTTAACTCTCAGGATGAAATCCCTTTTCAATCTCAAAAGGAGCACGTATTATTGCTCTATTGTCATTTATTGATTTGGGGTAAAATATGATGGTGTACGCCCGCATCATCCCGGAAATAGTATTCGCTCATATTTTATAAATGCTTCCTAAGCCTTCCTTAGCTGCGTACCATCTCACGTGAACTTTATTTGTATGATGATCTTTCGTGTATTTTAAAGCTCACACTTCCCTTACGTCATGTCCGCATGTCACGTGTTACAAATGTTTGCACTGTTTTACCAACATCTGGCACGTACCATTGCAAGGCATAATTAATACATGTACCTCTACTTAAAAAAAAAACAGGGGTCAAATGTATACAGCTCATATTTTGTTCTCAATAAACACTTCTTTTCGAGTTTCTTAGGGCGCGTTCATGCTTGATTTTGAAGGTAGAATGAGCGATCTGAAACGCTCATCGTAAACGCTCATCGTGATCGCAGTTCCACGGTGTACTGTTCATGCTTACTTCTCTGGCTCATCCAGGCAATTCTCCTTGTGTGGCCTTAATGTAAACGCATCTTTTTGTGAGTTTACGATCGGCGATCGTGATCGCCGTTTTTCGGTGATTCTACAAAAGTAAGCATGGACGCAACCGTGTTTTAAACTAAACGCGTAACAGATGCCTGATTCTGGCCAGAAAAAGTGAAGCATGAACACGCCCTCAGTCTTCTTGGAGGGACTGTACGTAAAATTTGCTTACTCTTAAATTCTCTACGAAAAGGTTAAATGGTTAACATTAGACTAATGAATTAGCTAGGTGTAGTAAAAACTGGGGGAATATCAACTGACCCAATTTTGCACGTGAAGATACAATATAAATCATATATCCTCATACATTTGGATTTGAAATATAAGTTCTGAACAAAATTTCAAAAATAATACTCGATGGCAAATAATTTGCATCATGATTTATCACTCATTAAAGGCGGAATATACAAAAGCGTATACGGGCAGGAAAGCACATCATACAGTCTAAAAATATGGATATGATATCTTAAATAGACTACAGTGTACTTCAGAACACGTCTGTTAAAGGGATAGTTGAGTTCTTGTTTCAGACCACAACTGCTCACAAAGTGCACGGTTATTGCTGTTATTCTTATTTCTGACATTTCGAGTGCCCTTTTAGGACCTAAACTTGCTATTAAGGTAATTTTAGACCCCAAAATGTGTGAAATTTAGCCAATAGGATCATACCAATTCAGCTCTACTTTAAAAAAATACGGTGACTGATAATTGATTAATAAATTAATAATAACAGTACATAGGCCGGCTGGTTGTACGTATTTTAACCAACACAAAAAAGCCAACAAGCCGACATCGGCATTGGCTGGAATAAAATGCATAAGTCGCTATATTTCGTTTTTTCAACGGCTTTTTCACATCATCTAATATTTGTGGTAGTACACAAATATTAGAAATGATTTATGGATATTTCAGTATGCTGAACGTATGTTACTCGTCTCAATATTCTCCTTCCTTGTTTGTCTTTTACTTACAGCACATATAATCATATTTGTGAAATGCGCTTTATAAATATGGTATATTATCGTTAGGTACGATCTGTAACGTATGGGACAAAATAGTGTGGTCTTGGCCATGTGGTTTCAACTTCGATTGGGGAATGCATATACGAATCAACGCAGTCAAAAGGGCGGGGATTGACTAGAAGCCACGTGTTATCATGTCTGGTGCAGATACAGTGTAGTGCAGTGAAAATATGCACCATTTCTAGGTGAAATCATCCATGTTTGATGATAACATAATGCCAAGGTGAGGATCCATTTGCTGTAACTCTGGGGAGACCGATATAAGTCAATTAATCCATGTAAATGCGATCATACCCACCCGGTGTGATCAGGTGGAGCCTTTTTGCAAAGCGTGGTTTGGTCGTTACCATGACAGTGACCTTCTGGAGTGTACGTCCTGTCAAGACATCCATGATGTTTTCTCCGCAGTTACTCTCATTGGCCCCATCAATGAGAATGGCGATTTCATCAGGCATTTTATTGAGCAACTGCCGAATCAGGGCTTCATCAACCTCATCAAGATCTTCAAAGTAAAGAAATAAATTCAGAATTAAAAAAACCTGCAACCCATATTCTGTTTATTAACAGTGTATTGCATTATTATGTTATTTTATGGTTGGATTCCACATGAGCGAACAAATCTGTTCGCCTTATTTTTGGTTCATATGGAAGCATGAACGCTGAAAAGGGGGGAAATTCTGGACGATTCAGAAGTGTGCTTTTGTTGTCATTCATATTTGACCCATCCTTTTAAAATGCCTACTATTGCGTTTCATTTGATGCTGTGAAATCATGAGAATTTCATTGCATTTCGAGCATCCATTATTGTTGTGGGGTAGAAGTGCACTCCTTACCCCTAGAAAAAATATACATAAACGCACACACACGCAAGCACATATGTTCGTCTTGCTTCTCCTCCTTTCGAAATAGCTTATATGTCATACGGTTTATGTAGTTATTATTTAGCATAATTCATTCAAGACGTTTATCTTGACATATTTTATACTTTAGAGGCAAATATCTATTAAGTCTGGAGAATTTTGTATGATTATTAATCATTAATCTTATACATAATATATATATATATATATATCCTCCTCTAAAAAAGTTGTAAACTCAAGTTTGATCTATTTTATCTCTCTTTTCATGGCAAAACTATCGCGACGTCTAGTATCACCAAAACAATCAAAAAGTCTTCTTTAAAAACAAAACCCCATTTGTTAGGATTTTTCATTCATGGAATATGCAGTATATACATATTAAGGGGCAGGATCAAAAGTGAAAATGTGAACAAAAACACTATTCCGGTTCGGCTATGCATTCCTCTTTCTTTGAAGAGTGTTGTGTTGTTGTGTTTTCAGATCACCTTCCATGAGCACCATACACCATGAAACAAACATTCATGAAGTTGAACATGCAAGTTCTATAACAATCATGCTTTATCACCCAAAGAAACTTGCAAGAGCATTCAAACAAGCAATACACATCATATCACATGAATTCAACCTTGTAAAAATAAATATGATTAAGCATTTTAACATCTTTCTGGCCTCGAGTTGCCTTATTGCTTGGCATTTTCTGCTTTGTTAACCTAGGCATGATGGCTCAGAAAGTTGATGACCAAACGGCAGCGAATTTTGCACCAACATGTCACCAAAGTGCGAGAATATCATTTTCAGATTGTTTAGACTTCGGCAATGATGGATTAACAGTAGCCCCATTGTCATTTGACCCCCTAAACACATTCTGTTCTGTCAAAGAAGAGTGCTCTACAAAACAATACTAGTGCTTACTAGTGCATTTTCGACTTTCCACTTAAGACCCTTTCCCTTATTCCGACGTACTGTTCATTCCTCGGTTGCAAAATCACAATTTTAAAAGTAATACAATTACTTTCTAATGATACTTGACGAGATAATGCGATTATAGGTGAGATATAATTGATCAAACTTTAATTTCCAAATTATATATATACGTATTGACGAAGACGAAAATTTAGATGTTTTAAAGCCGTAACAGTACTAGAAGCACTAACGCCAGCTCAGGTCAGCTGTGTCAGTATGGTCCTGTTCTCACTACTGGTTATCGCATTGCGTGCTCTAATTTCGAAGTGGGAAATAGGTATTTGGCTATACTACGCACTGCCAGACACCTTGGTAATGGGATGGAGCTGTGGTATGCAACAGTACGCTAGAGCAGAACGTTTATTAGATCACTATCGCTTTAAATCCAATATTTTTTGTTTAAGGTCAAAATTGTAAACGTTCCCAACGTCTTTATTCTGGATTGGTTTGTCATAATCGCTTGCAGAAGACGTTTGGTACGCGTCCAAAATTGTCGACCTAGCTAATAAGACTGTCGAGTTTAATTAAGCCTATCCGCACTAGTTTGGCCAGGAGTGTTCAAAACTCCCTGCATGGTCACTGACAGATGGTTATCTCATCAAACCAGCTCTCAATTAACATAAGAAAAAGGGACCAATGGCCATCATTAAGGCAATAGGGACAATCCGATTTGCACGTCTACAAAGTGGACTGCTACGTGAAATGTCCTTCAAATGAAGTGTTCCTATTTAACGTTCCTATTAACGTACTGGCAGTGCCTTAAAAGGACGTCACACGCAGGCGTGTACACGGGGGGGGGGTGGGTTTAACCCCCCTAACTCCCCTTAACCCCCCCCCCCTTGGATTTTTTTTTATTTTTTTTTTTTATTGAAAAAAAAAATGGCTGACCTAAAAAACCTGACCTTAACCCCCCCCCCCCCCCCAACCGAGCAAAATGTCAAATTTTCAAATTTCGAGACCAAAAAAAAAAAAAAAAAAAAAGGTGTCCTCTTACCTTCCCCCCCCCCCCCCCCCCCCCCCCCCCTGGTTATTCAGCGGTCGGCTGAGTCGTTGCGATTTTTTTGGGACCACAACAAAAAAAAAAATGACCTCTTCCCCTCCCCCCCCCCCCCCCCCCCCTCGCTTATTCAGCAGTCGGCTGAGTCGTTGCGAAATTTTCTGCCCGATTTATAAATGTTAACCCCCCCCCCCCCCCCCTTGAAAAAATCCTGCGTATGCGCCTGGTCACACGTAGCAGTTAACTTTGTCGACGTGCAAATCGAAAAGTCCCTATTGTTTGCTATATAGAGGACGCAAGTAGCTATAAATAATGCAGTCCCGCTTAACATAAGAAAATTGTAAAAGCTCACAAATTGCTTTTCAACTTTAATGGGTGCAGTTAAAGCCCCACTGACATTGGTCCCCAGTGGTCCACTTTTTCTTAAGTTAAATGAAAGCTGATTTGATGAAATAACTACCTGTTAGTGACAATGCAGGGAGGTTCAATCCCTCCTGGCCAAACTATCGCAGATAAGCATGGAACTTTTCTTCTTTAATATTTTCTTTCCTCTTATGCCAACACGTATATTAATATGGGATTTATAGATATTAAGCAAATAACTACCGTAGGTGAAGGTGATGGGACAAACTATCACTTCCAAGGCGATCTGGATGAAAGATAGCGTATTCATTCAGATCGCAGAGGAAGTGATAGTTTACCATCGCCTAAAACCAGAAGGTGATTATTTGCTTTATATTCCACATCGGAATCATTTCACCTCGATCTTCCGTCATTTTAGAGCAACAAGTTAACAGCTAGCAAACGGTGTACGACACGTACTACAGTGTATGCAGTATGGAAGTGTGACCATAGTTCGCGCGCCACCAAAGTTCGCGTATACACTCAAAGCGCTTAAATAAAGAGGAGAGCAATACGCAGCGTATTACAAGACAGTGCGTTGCACTGTGTAGATAGTACTTCTATCTTCAGTGAAAGGGCGTTGCACTATGAAGATAGTACTACTATCTACACAGTGCAACGAACTTTTCTTCTCCCATCAATGATGGGCGAACTATCTTTCATCACGTGATTTACTTTTGACCAACCGTAGAGCAAGATTCTCAGTATGTGGAATATATATATATATATGCATATTATGTTGTATTAACTAGGGACAGTTTTCATTGTCACTATACCAGGTAAAAGTTGATTCTTGATAGCATTCTCGATCGTCTGGTTTGGCTTCATGTCATTCGCAGATAACGCGAAGAGAAATTGCTTTTCGGAGAGGGCGCACGCCCCGTTCTGTGTTGCCCAGTCAAGTGGCAGAACACGACCAAGTGTAGCAGACTTTGCAGTGTTGCTACCAGACACGACAAGTCTCCTCATTGGTGATTTAAATATGTCGTGACGTGAATTTTCCAACGCGTAGAGTGGCGCTGATGAGCTATCTCGACGTTTCAGTTGTGGTAGGAAGCCTTGGTTTAACAGCTCAGTATCTTCCGCAAATCTGGCAGGATCTGTATAACGGCGTTGTAGCTCTTTACTGACTGTTGATACGATTTCGAATGAAGAAAAACAATGACATGACCGCCACCCTAAAGACAATTACGCCCGAACCCTCCCCCCCCCCCCCCCCGAGGACAAATACCTCTCGAAAAAAAAATCTGCTATTATTAAAACTTCTTATCGAGATATCCGGTACAATTAGACTTTTTTTAATAATCATCGTATTATCGTTTTAAAACTTATGAAGAAAAGAGGACACTTTATACTTAAACATAATTGTTACCTAATATTACTTAAAGGGATATTTGAGTTTTTGTATAGAGGGCGTTACACAACAAACTTTGTGTGTGAGAGATAATGAACAACTGAGTGTCAAATTTGAAAGAGCATACAATTTAAATGACAAAATCATGTTAGATGTGTCAAAAACGGTTAAGAGACGGCTGATTTATCCATGATATAATCATTTCTAATATTTTTGGGGCCCCACAAATATTCGATAACTTTAACAATCCCTTGAAAAAAAACGATAAATCGCCTTTCATGTTTGATTCCAGCCGATGCCACTGTTGGCTTTTTTGTTGGTTGTTATACGCACACCCAGCTAGCCCGTGTATAGTCATTTTTAAATTACTAACAAAAATAGTCACCGTATTTTTTTGAAAGTGGAGCTGAATTGGTATGATCGTAATTAATCAAAATTTCATACATTTTTGGGTCTAAAATTACCTTCATGGCATTGTTAGTTCCTCTAGGGACACTATCTAGAAATGTCATGAATAAATCTAAAAGCAATAACTATGCACTTTGAAGGCATTTGTTTAAAATAATTTTTATTTGCAATGTTTCTTGTCTTTAATATCAATAAACATGTTCTACTTCTAAAATAATAATCACAGACCCTATAATATGGACATTGTTATCGAATTAAAATGAATGAATGTAATAGAAAGACAACTCCTGAAAGCTATAAATGAAAATACGAATTGAAACCAGGATTTTATGAAGATTATAGCATTATATGTTTTTTCCAAGTCTGTATTACCCAATCGTCATATTGCATTTATTTTAGATATATGCATCAATGTTAACTTAGTGGAAACGCTCAGAAAAATGAACACAAAATTAATTAATCAAACATTTATTGGAAATGTAAGCAAGGTCATTAGAATAAAAACACTAATCAAATAAATGTCATAGGATTAAATTGCATACTTACTCCCTGTAAACGAAGATCAAGGGAAGTAGAAACAGACAGAACTACAAATTAGTTTAGACTACATGTATATATCATAAAGTTTCAGCTAATCGTTTTGGAATTAATATCGAGAATTCATGTCCTTCATTTAAGTTAGTATTCGTGTTTACACCGGCTAAGCAAACACTTGTTTTAATTGTATTGCTCGATTATTCCATTATACTAAGTCACTGCAAAACCCGTTCTTAAAAGGAAGAATAAATAAATCAGAAAGACAGATATTTGAAATGTATTATCAAAACATGGTTGCATTTCTTTAATTCAATAGTAACTCATCATTAAACTGAAATATTATTATTTCATACTGAAGCACTGCAACACCGGTTTTTTAAAGGAGGATAAGTAAATCAGAAACAAATAATAATCCTCAAGTAGATCAAAGTGTAAATGGAAATTGTAAACCTGATGATGATTAAAATGTATTATTAATATATAGTACTATTCTTTTGTACTTCTCTATCAACTCATCATTTAACTGTTTCCATACATTCTAGAACGATTAATTTGTGCAAGGTGTCCACTAAATAGCTGAATTCACTTTTCTTTTAATCTGACAAAATTACCAATATCTAATCAGCATATTCAATATTCATGATTGGACAAAATTAAGGACAATGAACAAAGATTGGAGGAAGCGGAGATTAGACCGACATTAATAAAGATGTACCGTAGAAATGAACTTCTTCTTTGAAATTCGTGAATAGTAATCATTATATTTAAACAGTGAAATACATTATCAAAAAGCTCGTGAAAAAAAGAGAAATGAAACCTCATATCAAAACTCATTTAAGTCATCTACAATTACTTTAGAGTACACAATTGGAAATTAGAAAATATACGAAGAACATTCTTTTTCTATTCCATTGCATTTTTTTAGGTACGTCTTTTCGATATCAGTTTGGTGTTTAAATTAATCTTTATTTGAAATATTTCCTGTCTTTAATTCTAATAATCATGTTCTACATTATAAAATACTATTCGCAGGCCCCATGATATGGAAGCACTGCAATTGATGGTTATCAACGTTACTGAGTGCAATAGATAAATATCTCCTGAAAGGAGAAGTAATGAGAATACAAATTGAAAACCGGATTTTATGAAGATTAGAGCATCTAAAGCGATTTTCCAATTCTGTATCACCCAATGATCATTTTGCATTTATTTCAAATATTATTGTAACCCTCCCGGAAACGTCCAGAAAAATTAATAAAACCTGAATTGTACAAAAAACCATTGACAATTTAAGTTAGGTCACCAGAATAAAATCACTTATCAAATAAGCATTTCAGGATTAAGTTGCATACTTACCGACTGTGAACGAAGATCAAGGGAAGAAGACAAAAGACAGAAATACAGATAGGTATAGACTACAACTTCATGTACGAATCATGTTCCTCTTTTTTGTAAAAGGGGAGAAACGTTTCAGATTTACTATCATTCTTGCATTAATATCGAGATTTCATGTCTATCCTACCAAACACTTGTTTTAAATTGTATTGCAAGATAATCCCTTCATACCGAAGCACTGTAACACCAGAACTGTAAATGAGGATTAGTGAATCAGATACATATAAAAGTCCTCGAGTAGATACAAATGTTGTGTATGGAATTTGTAAAACTGACTTTAAAATGCATTATCAATAGATGGAACCATTTTTAAAATATCTATAATAATTCATCATTTAACTGTTTCCATACATTCTAGAAAGATTTATTTGTGTAACGTGTCCACTAAGTAGCTAAGTAGTCCTACGAATGGTCTTCTTTCTCTTATAATTTGATGAAACCTCAAAGCTTTTGCGCTTCGCGCGGGAGGGGGGGAAACTCCCCCTCCCTGCACCCTCCCCCTAGGGAAAGCGCTACGCGCGCTCTGTAAGTGATTCGCACGCTTCGCGTGCTTACTACCGCCCCCTAAAATGAAATCCTGGCTACGCGCTTGCTAGCAGTTAGGTTTTACATAATAAAAAAATGTCCACATACACCCATTGCATAAAACATATCAAATAAATGGTCATCGACATAAAATGACTCAATTAAATAAATAAATAATTCTGTAATTAGAAGGAGAACATATGAAAATTCAAACAGCAACCAGGATTTTGTCAAAATAAGAGCAATGTCAGCTAGTATCCATAATCTGTATAACCCAACCCTCACATTGCATAAAGTATTAATAAATCAATGAATGGATGCCTGGTGGAAAGATTCAGAAAAAGAATTGAAAAATGATTGATCAAAATAGATACTTCAGATAGATAATCAGAAGGAAAAAAATGTATAAAATAAATGTTGTAGGATTAAGATCCATACTTACGCACTGTAAACGAAGATAATGGGCAGAAGAGAAAAAGAAAGAAATACAAATTATTATAGACTACGTGTATAAATCATGCTCCTCTTGTTGTGGAGAAGGAACGGGAAGCTTTGGCTAATCAGTTTGGTATTTATATCGAGATTTCAGGTCCTTCATTTGTTTGTATTCATGTTTACATTGGCTTAGCAAAATCCTTGTTTTAATTATATTGCACAATTATTATTTCATACTGAAGCACTACAAAACCAGTTCTTTAACCCTAATAAGGCCGGGGGGGGGGGGCATTATGCCCCCCCCCCCTGCACGATTTTTCCGATTGCTCAGTAACGCATGTGGATGGCGCCCCGCCACTCGCTGACTTTTTTCTTTCGAGTCTTGCGCAACTTTTAAAAGATTTTTTTTGAAAATCGGACCTTCCGGTAAAAGGTCACGTGACCTTTTGTCTTTGCATGTCAGCCCGAAAATCGCTCATTTTCGTGACTTGTGTACAAAACATAAGGAAAAGTCATTTTTCCTAAAAACAGATTAAACATGGGTTATTGGGTCTTGTTTGAAGTTTAGGTGGTTGTTTTTGGAGTTAAAATAGTTGAATTGTAGTAAGAAATGAAATAAAACAACAAAAAACAATGAAATACATAAGTTAAAAAAACAATGAAATACAAAAGAAATTATCAAAACAAGGGATAAAATAAGGAATAAGCTGGCTTTTCCAAATTTTTGTCGTATTATTATTCAGAATGGTCTAATGAATATATGTAGTAAAAAAGGATGTTTAAATATGAATAATATATGATTTATGGGTAAAAATGTGATTTGTATGAACTTATTTGCATGACCTTATTTGCATACATTACCATAAATATGCAAATGAGTGAATTTTTCAAAAAATTTAAATTATCATATTATTCTATACACTTCACTTGACATGCGTGCAAATTTTCGCGGCGATCGGCCGCTTCGCAGCCGAGATCTTAAGAGGGGCCATAATGCCCCCCCCCCCCGGCCATACTAAGACCTCAAATAGCCCGGCTTTTTTAGGGTTTCAGGAGGATAAGCAAATCATAAACATTTTATAATCCTCGAGTATATCAAAGTTGTATATGGGAATTGCAAAACTGATGATTAAAATGAATTATTAATACATGGTGTCATCTTGTGTACTTCTCTATCAACTCATCATTTAACTGTTTCCATACATTCTAGAACGATTAATTTGTGCAAGGTGTCCACTAAATAGCTGAATTCACTTTTCTTTTAATCTGACAAAATTACCAATATCTAATCAACATATTCAATATTCATGATTGGACAAAATTAAGGACAGTGAACAATGATCGGAGGAGGCACAAAATAGACCGACATTAATAAAGATGTACCGTGGAAATGAACTTCTTCTTTGAAATTCGTGAATAATAATTATTATATTTAAACAGTGAAATAAATTTTCAAAAAGCTCTTGAAAAAAAGGAGAAATGAAACCTCATATCAAAA